CAACTTTGAAAAATTTTGACATTTTTATTGTTTCTGCCAATTGTTAATATACCTTGGATACATCTGCCAATACATTTCTTGGATTTTACTTTGCATGTCAAACTCATCTTCCAAATGGCAGATGGGAGAAAATTGTTTCAACATCTCAGCATTTTGATACAACTTCAAAAATTGTTAAATATTATTATAACAACCGAGATTTTCTGACATTTCCTCATTGATCTCTAAATCGTAAATGCAGCATAAATTTAATTTGGCAGACGGGAGGTCGTTGATCCACATGTCCGATTTTGCCGACATTTTGAAATTACTAATGTGACACTTTATACTAACCTAGGCTTTCCGCCGTTTAGCTTCCTTGTACTCATTTTTGTCTAAATTACCTTCACAATGTGTGGCAGACGGGATAATATTGATCCAAATCTCCACTTTTCATTACATTTTCAAATTAGCATATCATTGTATTGTCACACGCGGGGCTCTTTGAAATTTCAGCCATTCCACTTCTTATTGCATAAAGAAGAACCATCCTTAATGGCAGACGGGAGAAAATCGTTTTAAAAAAATGGTCGTTATGCACCAGTCTAATTATTCATAAACCACATGCTCATTTTGTTTTTTTATTTCAGGTAGATCTAAAAAGGGTTGGATGTCTAGTCAAACATTTTACAATTATGTATGCAACACTCTTTTGCCCTATTTAAATCGAAAGGGTGTAAAGTTACCAATACTGTACTTTCTTGATGGCCACAAGTCACCCTGACTTACAATTTAAGTAAATTCTGCGCAGAAAAGGGAATTTTTTTGTATGCTCTCTATCCAAATGCAACGCATATCTTACAGCCAGCAGATGTTTCATTATTTGCCCCCCTAAAAAATAATTGGAAGAATATAGTTTTTAACTGGAAAAAGCAAAATAATAATAAGGTTGTTAATAAAGCAACATTTCCTTCCTTATTAGAGAGCGCCATGCAACAAATTAGTCAGGATACTGTCAAAAACGGTTTTCGAAAATGTGGAAGCAATTGATTTTAAAAAATGTAGGTAGTTTATATAAATTTTTTCTCAAGGCCAGAGCTTCAAGCACTGATTTATGAAAAAATGTATATTGTAAAATGAAAAATGTATGAATGCATACCTAAATAAGGATTGTTTTCAAAAAAAAAAAAAAAATAGCAGGGGTGCAGTATCATTCTAGCATCTGGCCTAAGTGATTACAGGGAACCCCAGAATTTCCAAAGCAACACAAACTGACTGACCTGATGGGTCCAGGGGAATTAGAATTCACTTATTATATTTCTATCTTTAGACCGAGCTTTAGACCTAGGTGTTTGTACGTTTTTATAAGTTTTAATATGTGAAAAAATCCGAATTATATGAGCTGCAAATTATCCAAACTGTGGTACAGTCAATGGGTATGGTTTACTATCCTTTCTTTTAAGACTAAAATATGATTGTGATCTAAATTGAAAAGAAAACAAAATTCAGATTATAAAAAAAACGATAAAATTTAAAGTAAAAACCCCGGTAAAAACTATAGATAAAAAAAATAAAATTTAAAGCAAAAACTTAGTGTTGGCCACTTGGTTGGCCATATGAGGTGCGATGTCCCACCAACGAAAAACAGCACACATCTCTCACAATTTTACTTGAAACATTCACGTTTACAGCTCGGGGCAAATCAGGTAACCTCTGAGCAATTTATGAATCAATAACTGATAAATTTTTTTATGCCTATGCTCTAAAGTTTCTAATGATAAATTGTGTAAAAGATGATCACCATAATTAATAAACAAGATTTTTTTTTTGTACACGTTCAACTAACTCAGTATAAATTTTATAATGTGGTGACCATACACTAATGACATACACAGAGTTTCAATTTGAAAACTTTCAATGCGAATATCCCTGAAAGTAAAGAAGTTAGAAAAACCTAACTTGTACCAATGTTATTTAGGTAGGGGGAACTAGAACCACCCTATTTTGGTTTTGAGGGGAATGACCCCTTGGGCCCCATGCACCCTAACCTCAAAATTTTGAATGGCACCACCTCTTTTGTGATACCTAAAATTAAATATTTTTGGGTATTAGCCTATCCAAAACACATGACTGACAAACAAAATATGGCTGGCAGAAGGCGTTTTTAAGAACTATTTGCTACTATTTACATACACTATTTAAATACACTATTTCTAACATTTAAAACCAACAGTTTTAAGTATAACAACCAGAGCCGTAACTAGACCTGTTTGCGCCTGTGGCAGCTTATTAATTTGTGCCCCCGCCCCATATCCAATGTAGAAAAGTGGGTAACTGATATAAAAATTCCTGTTTCATTTGAAATTAATAAAAATAAAATATTAACATCAGAAACTCAAACATAACATAGGTATTATGTAATAGCAAAAAACAGGTAAAGGAAACACAAAAGAAGAGTATTATTGACTATACAGGGTGTCTGCAAAACATGAAGTCCATGGGGGTTTTGTTGGCCTTAGGATTTTAAAAATTCTATTTTATTTGCCAATTTTAGTTTTCCTTTAACCTTAGAGTAATTTCCTCGATAGCACGACCTCTGAGAAAAAGCGAAATCAGCTGTCACAGTATTAAGAACAACAAATCTTTCTTCAATCTGTGTTATAATTGCCTAAATGACTTGCAAGAGTTCAATTTCCAAATGTGTTTTGGAAAAGATTAGCTTCGTCATATCCTTCCTAACCAGGCATTTTTGGTTGGGTTGTTTTAGTACCATACCATATCAATAAATCAATATTTATTTCGCTGTATCAAGAATAAAATCCGGAAAGCGGTCTTTCCGTGTCATACATTGCCTTGACAAACTCTTCTGGCTTTTTAACACGTCAAAAAAATTCTCTCATGGCAACTTCCAGTCCTCAAGGATCTGAAAAGCAAAACTCAAGCCTACAGTAAATTCAAAATTGCATTTTCACAATGTCTTTGTTTCTGAATGCTAGAAATTCCTGGAAAAGGCTCTCCTTGACCTCTTATCCTTCCAAAGGCAACTTCCAGCTAGAGTCAGAATAGGTAAAGCAATGAATCAAGAAAGTCCATCTTAATAGCTTAGAAGCTCTTCTAATCTTGGAAATGAAATTTTTCTTTTTATCTGGGATTCGGAAATTGCATTGAGAAGCTTTTTAATAAGCCAAACATTGCCCAAGCTCTTCTGGCTTTTCAACATTAAAAAAAAATTATCTCATGACAACTTTCAGTCCTCAGGGATCTGAGAAGCGAAACTCAATCCTAATATTGAATTTAAAATTGCACAATGTATTTGTTTCTGGATGCTAGAAATTAGTGGAAAAGGCTCTTCTTGACCTCTAATCCTTCCAAAGGCAACTTCCGTCTTCCAGAGTCAAAATAAAACAGTGAATCAAGAAAGTCCAGCTCTAGGATAAAAGTTCTTCTAATCTTGAAATGCAATTTTGCTTTTTATCTCTGGGAGTTGGAAATTGCAATAAATCAATATCTTTTTCGCTGTATTAAGAATAAAATCCGAAAAGGGCTCTTTAAAGTTTCGGTGTGTTGCGCAGAAGGCGCTTTACGCTTAACGATTAGTGGCAGACTGCGCCCTTTTGAAGCTTGCGCCCGTGTCAAATGCCACCTTCGCCTCGCCCTAGTTACGGCACTGATAACAACGCAAATAATTAGCACTATTTAAAACTCATGACACCATTTGAAAACACATAAACAACGGGCATCTTGGATAGTCTGATAGTATTCCCCTGCACAAGAATTTATTCAAACGATATTCAATTTATGGTATCACAAAAGGTGTGTGGTGCCATTTAAAATATTGGGGTTGGGGTGCATGGGACCCAAGGGGTCAGTAAAACCAAAATATGGTGGTTCTAGTTCCCCCTACCTGTATAACATTTGTACCAAATTACGTTTTTCTAACTTTTTTACTTTCAGAGATATTCACATTGAAAGTTTTCAAATTGACACCATGTATATAAGCACTTCAGAACAGAAACATTCTCAAAATTCCTCGCAAAATTCCCAGTACCTATGTCTTTTCATAATTGATAAAACCTAACATTTTCAATGCTTTATATTACATGTATAAATATGTTCAGAAAAAGACAATTTTGCATCAAATATAACACCTAGGTGACGAATACTTGAAATGTTTCCAATAACATCATCATTTATATAATAGCGAGTATAATAGTCATTCAATTTAGGAGAATTTTTCCTACCAAACTGAGTAGGTATATTTGCAGTTTTTACTATTTAATGTCATCTAATTCTTAAAACACCACTCCTGGAAGCTCAGAAGAGCATACTTACTGCTATCCCCTGTCTGGGCCTACTTGATTTATTCTCTTGAAAATTTTCAAGTCATCAGCATATACCTAATTAAAAATTTGACTCGAAATTTGATATGATGGAAGCAAAACCGTCCTATGTCATTAATAAATAAGCAGGATTCTTGAAGATTGTTCAATATAAATTAGGTAACAATTATTACAAGTAATAGAATACCTGTCCTGTATCACAGCCGATTGTTCTGAAAACTTGATGTTAATCTTTTAGTTTTGCGTATACGTACCTAATTTACAAACAATTTTTTTTTAAATTTTGAGTAATTTCATATTACTTGCTCATTTGTTTCATCAAATAATGTAATATCAAAACCTATATTTTGTAATACACATGAAAAGAAAAAATGGGACGTTGTGCTAGCTGAGGAGGAGACAGAAAAGGAAAACTCATTGCCAGAAAAATCATATTGCGTGGCAAATGATATCAACATCTGTTAATGATTTGAAAAGAAAACCCATATTTTTTCATAGAACTTGCATAAAAGGCAAATATAAATATTATAAATCTATCTAATGTTTCTTTTGTAATTTGGAGGTATAATCAGAAGCAGTAGTTAACTACTTTTGATAATTCTACTTGCTTTGTTCCATTTGAACTTTACTACTCTGTTGTTTTTTGATAACGGTTAAGATCTAACAATAATTTTTACTTACACATTTGGTAAATATTTCTGGCCTGAGTTTGCCCTCAATTGAGAATTCAACTATTTTCATAGCCCTGGCGTCACACTCTTTCTTCAGTTGAGCAGTCACTACCATCTCTTTGCTAAAAAGGAACAAAAAGATCCTGATTGTGCATTTGGAAAAAAACCCATGAATAATTGAACCATTGTGCAACTATCACTTTCCTTTTTACAAAGCATTAAGCAATAGTTATCCATCGATGATTTCTCACCTGATTTTGATTGTATCATCTTGTTTGCTGAATTTTAAATAGTCCTCTAGTGAATCTTGCATTTTTGCAACCAAACAAGACACTGGTTTCAAGTAAATTCAATTCTCACTTAGTTCATGTTCTTCAATAGCAATAAGGAGGAAAGTACAAAAAATTTAGGGAAGACCAAAATACCAGCACAATCCCAATGAACGCCAAATGTAATAATTTGCAATTTGCATTGCATGCAAAGCAAAACTAAAAATTAGAAAGGTAAAACGTCAATTAATAATAATAAACAACATATGTTTTTGACATTTTGCCTTTTTCAGCTCTACAAAAATAGAGGGCCCGGATTCGCCTGCTCGTTCGCGCTCGGTTGACTCTAACTTACTCTTAAGGTTCGGGACAGTTCCAGTATGTATTTCCAGCGTAAAGATAAGAAGTTGAGTAGATAAAGCTCTCTTCAAAAGTTGTTCTTCATGCAAGAAGATTTTAAGAGTAATAATTTATACTTGCCTTCCAAAGTTGTCATATGAATGTTAAGTCGAGGTCGTTGAAGTTGAAGACAAGGATTCTATGATCGTGACTTGCTTGTTATTCTTGTTAATGTTCAATAATTAATTTATTCGTTTTTGCTCAAATTGCCTTCGGGCTCCGACTCCACTCCAACTCTGTATCGAGAACCCGAACCCAGATTTGATCTTCTACGCCTACTCCAAGCACATCTAGACTACAGGGTTCGGCTATTCAGCGCGGAGTTGGAGTGGAGTGAACAGAGCTAATGGAGTCACACCTAATATGGTAAAAACTGAAAAGCAATACCGAACTTTAACCCGAACGGCTGGAGTGCGAATGCAGTCACTCGGAGTGCACGAAGTGAGCAAGCCAACCCACCTTATATAGGGTGTCCCAAAAAGATACCGACAAACTTAATGGGGTAGTAGGGGACATCAAAACAAGCATTTTTGTTTATATAAACATATGTCCGCAAATGAGCCATTTGGGCTGTAGAGCAAAAAAACTGTTTGGTATCTAGTTTTATTCTTTGCAATAATTAAATCACTGTTTACTTATTAATTTTGCTTTAATAGCAAATAAATTATGGTTTACAATAATTGTTCAACTCGCGAACTCTTTAGAATATTCCGGCAATAGCTTCTACATGGGTACAACTCGCCAGTTTCCTTGCTATCAGATCTTCCTCATTACGAACAGGTGTTTCGTAGACTAAACTTTTCAGTCAATGACCCGACGATGTAATTTTTGCATTAAAGTAAATGGTCAACATTTTGAACAATTATTCTAAACCATAATTTATTTGATAATAAGCAAAATTAATAAGTAAACAGTGATTTAATTATTGAGAAGAATAAAAGTATCAAACAGTTTTTTTGCTCTACAGCCCAAATGGCTCATTTGCGGACATATGTTTATATAAACAAAAATGCTTGTTTTGATGTCCCCTACTACCCCTTAAAGTTTGTCGGTATCTTTTTGGGACACCCTGTATAGGGCCGAATTTATAGTCGTTCCTTGAGGCTTCATTAAGCCTAGTCTCCATGGACGCGAAATCGCGAAGTTTTTTTTGCGGATATTTTCCGATTGGTTTGAATTTGACATTTAACATTTGATTTTTTTATGGCGGGAAAAATTCGCGAATTTTTTAACTTCTTGCGGCGTCGCAAAAAAGTTAACTATTTTTTAACTTTCCGCGAAATTTCGCCAAAAAAAAATGAGGTTATGTGGTGTTACTTTCAGTTTAGTTTTGTTTATGTTTTTGTCGGTATGTGCTCTGTTCTCTGTGAGTCGTTGATGTGTTTTATACTTGTAGATACCCAGATAACACAGAGGGATCCATAAGACATCCATTGGTTGTCCACTGGACGGCCAAGCAAAAATACTAGGAAGTCCGATGGACATCCAGATTAAGTTCAGTGGATGTCTCATGGACATCCTCTGGCTATCCAGTTGGCACAGCTCTGGATCATTCCTGGATGTCCAGATCATAGCCATGGGGTACCGCTTAAATATCCATTTATGGATGTCCACGAGGCATCCACTGGACTACTTTTGGACATCCTATGGATGACCATGTCCAGCAGTTTTTAGGCCATTTATGGAATATTTTGGATACTTTATGGATGTTCTAGCGGCATCCATTTTTTCTGCCATTCATGGAATACTCCTGGACATAATATGGTTGTCCATAAAGCATCCATTTATGGACATGAGCTGGAAATCAAATTTCAAAAAAATTGCTGTTAAACAAACTTTATTGGATCATTTTATTACTTACACCTAAAAACATTATTTACATAAAATAAGTTTGTGTCATTATTCTGCGGTTTATTTAGGAAAAGGAAAATTATTTAGTATATTCTCAGAATTAAAAATAAAAAATATATTATTAAGTGAGCTGTGCATCGAAATTATTACTGAAACTATAGTTTTTCAATTTTTAATTCTGCGAAAAAGCTTAATAATATCCTTTTCCTAAACTAAACCGCAGAAACAAACTTTCAAAAAATATTATTTTTTATATTAGACAAAAAAAACAGTTATTCTTGGCAAATTAACATTAACATAAAATTATTAAATAACATAAATCATATACGGTCGAAAATACTGGACGGACAAAAAGTGACACTTCAGTCCCTGTCATGAGGGAGTGAAATTGTCGCTTTAGTCCCGGAAGTACGAAAAAAATATATATTTTTTTTTAACAATAAAAAAAACGACTATTCTTATAGGAACTACTAAAATATCAATAAAAAAATATTGTTTTTTGTCAAACAAAACAAGTTTTACTCTCAAAGGAACCCAACAAACCAAAATAAAAACGAAGATAGCAGACAAGTGTTCACTTCCTTTCTTTTGCTCTACGCATCCAATTTTTGATACTAGTTTCAATGTCCTTTCTAGAAGAATCCTTAAACTTTTTGAAAACAGCATCTGGAACAATAAATTATAAAATAACTATAACTATTTAGACTGATAAATGCAAATAATATACCCTCAACGACTTGCATTAATAAATAGACGTAAAAGCTTAAAATGCTAGACATTAAATTTGCATTTTACGCCCTTAGTACAAAAAATAGTTACTATTTTTTGTATAACTAAGTACCTTTTATTTTAAAATCGAGTAAGACAGTCAGCAGTTTTTAAATTCTAAAAAATGGTTTAAAACTATTGTATGATATACTACTTACCAAACAACACACTGCATAGTTTTAGTTCTGAAAATTTTTTTTTCCCTTTTTTTCCAAAGTAAGTATAGGTCTCCGCCAATCGGTTTGAGATGCAGAAAGACAGGCCACGTTTCACGAATTGGTTAATGTCGATCCCTCCTATCTTAACAACTTCTTTAACCTTGAATAGATAGAAGAAAAATTAAAAAATCAGTATCATGTCTGTTTGAATACGTGACTTTTAACATTTGTATTTTTATAATCTAAATAAATAGACAGAAACCATAGAAAATTGAGTTAGGAATATATAGGTACTTACAACAATTGCATAATTAACATCATTCGATAAATACTCCTCAAAACCTGTTAAATCTTCTTCGTTGCTTAAAGGAAAATTAAAATCTTTAATGAAACTTATTTTGCAAGTTTCATTTATTTCTGAAGGTTTATTATTGGTATCAATTTTTTTGAGTGTTTGATCCATTTCAACCTGTATAGCCATGAATTTCTTTAATGTATTGAAATAAAATGTTTTGTTTCCGGACAAGATCTGTCAAAAGCTTTCCTGAAATTAAAAGAAACAAATTTTGATCAAAAATACTTTGCAAAATTATAAATAAAATTCAATACCCAAAAACTCTCTTACCATGCATCTTGCAGCAGCCTGATTCTGTCGCTGAAACGTCCACTCTGATTTCATTGGTATTGTCACATCGAGGGTGTTCTAAAAAATTAATAAAAGGTTAATTTTTAGCTATTAAACGTTTTCGATATTTTAACCAGAACAGAACCTCCTTGTTTGATTTCAAAACAAAATTATAAACTATACATTATAAAATGAACTTTTGTCTTAAAATTATTTTTTTAATAAAATATTAAACTCCAAGCAGTTTTGGACATACCAATTACTCGACCATTTCCTAGTGCTGATCCTAAATTCGATGTCATACTTCCTAGAGAAGACGTCGAAGACGATGACGATCCCTTCGGCGATAATATATTATTGGCATCTGAACGTGGACCTCTTGCATTAGAATTAGCCAGACGAACAGGATTTTCTAGAACAAAACAAAATAGAACGATATTTTTTCTGTGCTACAATATGTAATTACGAAGTGTCTTTATTTTCATGGTTTTATCAAAAACACTTATCAGGAGAAATATTTTCACCTTAATTATTTTTAATTTCAAAAAATTCAAGTTTTATTACCTATTGAAGTTATAAATTTAATAATAATCAATTTCTCAACATACCAACCAAAATTGGGGCCGGTGGTAATGAATTTTTTTTGGGCTTACAGCCTCTTTCCTTTTCGTCCTCACTAGTAGAAATGGGGCTGGATTCCGGCGAAAAAACTTTTTTTGTTCTCTTTTTTCTTGAGGATTTTTCATCACCAGTATCTGAACAGAGGTCCGAGAACATTTCGGCAGTCTGACATTTTTTCCTAGCCGTAAGATAATCATCTGCAAAAATATAAAAGGAAACTGCAACTAAGTGATTTATGGGATTTCAGATTACTGTGAGTTATGATCAACTCACAGAATAATAATTGAACCAGAATTAATAAAAGAACTATTTAGATATCTAGGACTTCTGTTTTAAAAGTTATTAGTATTTTAAATACGTCAAGATAATCAACGCCTTCTATTAATACTCTTACCATATATTCCATTACGAAATATTTTCACAGGGTGCAGTGGCCAGCAAGTGTTTGGCTCCTCATTATTTTTAATAAATTTTAGTAGTTTTTCCTTATTAAATGGCGGCCAATAGCATTTGTTATTATAAATCCATGAGGAGGGCACTGCTTCCACTGCATTTTCCTCCTCAAACTGCACTACACTCCACGTCTTATCCATCCTTTTTTTTCGATGAGCAACGGAATTTCAGTAATTTGAAAAATTATACCAAATGTACAACTTCAAATAAACTAGCTGTAACATAAATTAATTATTATTACAAATAGTAGGAATGCAGTTATATATATAGTTACCTTTTGAATTAGCAGACAATAGCTGGTATACCTACATATACTTAGAATGATAATTGACCATTTTTAAATATTTTAATTTACT